AAACAAAAAAAGAAAAAAAACCTTTAGTCCCGGTTGGGGTTACCAACCGGGACTAAAGAGTGTCGGCCTTGTGGTATGTCAGGAGGCACCTTTAGTCCCGGTTGGTGTTACCCACCGGGACTAAAGGACCCCCTTTAGTCCCGGTTCCTGGCCCGGGATTAAAGGACCCCCTTTAGTCCCGGATGCTTGCTCCCGGGTGGGGAACCGGGACTAGAGGGGGTTCCCCACCGGGAGTAAAGCCCGTCTCTGTACCAGTGCCAACACTGTCGATGCTCAGAGGCATGTGGGGGAGCCTTACCGTATGAGAGTTAATGGCGCCCACAATACTGTAGGGGAAAATGTCGGCGCCTACAACACTGCTTGGGCTCTGTCGTGCCAGGGAGGTCGCAGAGTACTACCTGGCAGGTGCGCAGGGTACGGTCCCTGGTATTGCGGTTTGACTTGTGCGCCCTGCCTTACTTTCTCCGCCCGTTCCCTGGTCCTTACCGAGCGGGCGTCCCCGGTCGGTTAGTCCCAGTCGGCTCTGAATGCGCCAGTTGGAGAAGAGCAGTGAGCAGGGGTTTGGTGCATCCCTAGTCAGAGACGCGGGTCGGAGTCGAAAGTAGTGCTTTGGCCAGGCCTTCCGGCCGTAGAGGCCGTCCGGAGGCGGGCTGGAGACTGAAGCGAGCGCTCCGGTCGGAGAGGTGGGCCGGAGTCGGAAACGGGCGCCGTTCCTCCTCAGCCAGTTCTTCCGGTCGGTGATTGGATCGTCCTTCTGGCATGTCGTTTAGGTAATTGGGTCAGCCCATGAGTTACGTGTTGTCTGCTTGGGCCGAGCTTTTGTTGAAAAGCCGGTCCGCGAGGGACCCCGGGTTTATGAACCCGACACTAATAATCTTAGGTATAAATTTATAAAATCACACAACAATATACAAATATGAAGATCGATCTAACATTCACTTGCATAATGCCATGTGCGTTAACACAACATAATTAGTGATGAGTAGGCATGACACAAGGACATGCAATTGTTGGACATATCCTGCATGCTTGAAAATAAGATTTATAATTACATGATCATCTCGGATGAAAACAGGACGTACATAAACGGGTGGGAAACAGCCTCTCTCGTTTCCAAGAATACAAAAACAAGATCCCGTAAACAAGGGCGGATCTAGGCCCCGGGCTAGCCCGTGACCTAGCTCAAAAAACCCTTTAACATCTCCTTTGTCCAGCCTAAGAGTGCTCATGAAAATATATATTTAGCCTCACCCGACGCGACCGAACACTAAATGGATGGGAAAAAAATAGAACGCGGGACAGGATGAGAATTTTCCCGTCCAACATATAATTAATTTATTGTAGTACATGATTCTTTTCACGGACACTAAAAATTTTAAGCTGCTAACAGGTTTGATGAAGAAAATCATACTGGCAACAGAATTTTGCGAGGTTCCAACGGTCATTTTATTTAAAACCATGAACAGGGGGACAGCTGTTTCATTTCAGGTCCAACCAATGGACCTTCAACGGACCGTTATTTATACCCCAGCGCCACAGACAGTAGACTTCAGTTCACCTGGAATGAGAGGAAGGGGGGCAGCAAGACCACAATTTTCGCTTTTCCATCAACGCGCCGTACGCGGTACGCCGTTTCAGTCCATCCACCCCCCACCGCCCCGGCCCCCGGTGAGCGGCCTGCGTGCGCCAGTGGTCACAGCACGCCGTTCCCGACGGGCGACGACGGCTCACGCGAGGGTGCGTGTGTAAAATCTGCAACGGGCCCGAGCAGAACAACACAATGCGCCCGATTGTCGCGTCGCGGCGCACGGGGAATTGCGGATTTGCGGCCCGGGGGACCAGGACATAAGCATGTTTGCGTGCTACAGCCACCAGCCGATGGACGGCTTTTGTTTCTAGCAAATCCTTCTATTCTATTCTTCCGCGCTCATCAATGCACTTGTTTCTGTGTGCGTAGGCTCTTGGCTCGGCTGACGCTGAGCCATCGATCCAGCCAGGATCGCCCAGGCATTCATCAGCACCGTAGCGATTATTGCATCCGTGCCGTGCTGCACATATCCGTAGAACGGAGAGAACACTGTGCATTTTCGTTTTCGGCTGCACGTATAGATGTTGTACTACTCTCTCACGGGACAACGAGTCCTTGAACAAATGAACAGCACCCTCGGTTTAGGGGTTTCAGGGCCAGTGATCAGGCCCGTCCATCTAGGATCCACCGGTTCGGAGATGGTTTTCCTGACGACTCGCGGTAAGAATGTTCTCATTCAAACTGTGGAAGGCCAGGGCCCAGGGGTGAAGCGATCGGTCAGGGAAGCGAAGCCAGGTGGATTAATTTCAGGGCTCTAGGAGTGAAACTGATGAGGAAGAAAATGACCGGACACCGGAGCGGTGGCAGAGGGTGGAGTGGGAGGAGAAGCAAGCAAACGATCAGGCATCCCGGTTGCAGCATACCAGAGCATTGGATGCTGCGTGCCGCCGCCCCCCGCGCATGCAGATGGCTCCAACCCTTTTTTTAGTGGCGGACCTGACCTCACCGCCTCGTGGTTTGTCAATGCAAGCACAAACTTGAAAAAAATCACTTTCCTTTATCCAAGGACTACGCATACTACTAGTGGAGGTGGGTAGCAAAAAAAAGTCAAGATTCTGTTAACAAAGTTCTCTTTTTTCAAATACAGAAATGCTATGCCACGGTAAAAAGTAGTGGAGGGAGTGATACATCGTCACATGAGCCGCCTATCTGCGTCGCTCAAAAGTTGGCGTGGGATCGTGGGCGCTCGTTGAGCGTTTGGCGGCTCGGATGAGATCGCAGGGAGGCCGTTGGTTGCTGCCGCTCACACGTTCCTCCTCCGCGCTTCATCACCTGCTCGCTGTTGCTACTTCTATCTTCCCCCAGCATTTATTACTCAAGAAAGAAAGAGATAGTCAGACAGTTCCAACTCCCTTTCCACACACTCCCCCTCCCTTCTTGCTTCTTCCCTTCCATCCCTGTGCCGCGCCACTGCTCCCCTGCGGCGTGCGCGCCTCTGCCCTGCTGACCGCTGCTCAGTCGTCACGCTTTGTTTTCACATTCAAGTGCCTTGCCTGCCTGCCCCTCGCCCTCGCCGGCACAGTGGTAGGAGTAACTGGTAAGAAGCGCCCTTCCACTTGTTTTCTTCCTGGACATCGCTTGCCCTCTCCCCGGTAAGTCGATTCATTAGCTTCTCCTCTTCTCGCTCGCAGATCCATGTCGGGCGCCCGCTGACTTGTTGCTGTAGGCGTCGAAGCTGCAAAGGTACTTCTGCCTCTCTCTCTCCTCTACCCTGCCGACATTTCGCCAAGAGCTTATATCATCTCAGAAATGCCGGCGCCGTGCCGTTCCCAGTGCCTGCCGTGTGACGTCCCATGCCCGAGCTTCTTGCTCCTCTCCTTCACTTGCGCCTCCCACAGGAGTGCCGGTAGCCGGTAGCGCCACCCAAAACCGAAGCATTTGTCACCTAGTTGAAGACACGGCGGAACACATTTTACCTTCCGGTTCCTGCGGGATTAGCAATAGTAAGCGCCATCCTGATTCTCGCCCCCGGTTCCGGCTCCGGTTCCTCAGGGATTAGCAATAGCGATAGTAATCAAAAGGCCGGGAAAGAGAGGGTGAGAGAAAGCGCGGTGAATTTATTTTTAGTATTTTTTCTTTACCTTTAGAACTGGTAAATTAAAGGCAGTCAAATGAATGAATCAGCGTAGTACGCGAGTGGTTTGTCTGAAAAGAGCAGTCAAATTCCGGCCTTTTCACCCCGCAGGGCCGCAGGTGCTCTGGTTTTACTACCACAACCTCGCCTTTTCAGGTCATCGCTTTCCCGCAGCCTGTGCTTCTCCTTGGGAAAGCGAGGACGAGGAGGCGAGGTCGCAGCCGCGCCCAGGCCAGCCGTGCCGCACTAGACCGAGTAACCGACCGACGCTAGCAGCCCCACCACGCGCAAAAGCCCACACGTCTTCTCCTCCACAGTCCACGCTCCTGTCCATCCGACCATCCGGCTGGGCTGTTCGCCTGTTCCTCCGCCAGTCCGCCCAGTTCAAATTTCAAACGCCTCCGCCCTGCAGCCCTCCGCGCCGCACGGCCGCCGCCGCGCTGCGTCCTCGTCTCCTCGACCGCCGAGCCGAGCCCCTGATGCTACTGGTGCTGTAGGCGCGGTACGTCAGGATCGCCGGCCCACCACCCGCCATAATAACTCGCGTCCGTCCGGACGAGCGGGCGGATTGCCGCTACCACTGGGCCTTGTTTAGATAGTAGGGCCTTGTTTGTTTAGACAGTAGCACTTTCGTTTGTATTTGATAATTATTATCCGATCAAAATTTAACTCGGCTCAAAAGATTCGTCTTGTAATTTACAATTAAACTGTATAATTAGTTATTTTTTATCTACATTTAATATTCTGTATGTGTCAAAGATTTGATGTGGTGGAGAGAGTGAAAAAACTTGCAATCTGTCCTAGTGGAGGGGTACGTTCACAGTCGCCTCGCCTTATCAGGACACTATCATTCGCCGCATCTAATTGCAAGATTACCTCCTCCCTCCTCCTCGTCCGGCTTCCTTCTTTGATGGTCTAATCATTAGCGCTCCAAAAGCCACGCCCACACGCTGCGAGACCCTGGTGTTTCGTGTGGGTTGGGAGCTCGGAGCTCTCCGGGGTCGGGGTGTGGTGGCGCGTCGCGGCAGTAATAAATAAATTTAAAGCCGGGCTTCTTTTCTGCGGGGCGGGCGGACGGGCGGTCGCCATGTACGCAGCCCCGTGATTATTGCGAGTTGGGAGTACCGGTAGACAAGTGGTAGCCTGGTAGTGTTGTGTTATCTTTGCGAGATCGCAGCGCATTTATTTTTGCAGCAGTTTGCGGTCTGACGACCGGCCTGCTCCTCATTCAAACCCTGATGCTACGGTGGGGTTTCGTCGTCTTCATTCATGTCTTTCAGTTACTGGTGGTAGCGCGGGCGCGGCGCGGCTGCGGTTGCGGAGGAGGGATCGGCGGAGATGAGGATGAAGACGCTGGCGTGCTGCCGGCGGCGGCCGCAGGACTTCAGCATGGACATGGACCAAGAGCCCGACAGTAAGCAATCCTCCCTGCCCAAGATCTCCCTCCCCTGTTTCTCCCTTTCTTCCTGCTTCAGTTCCCTTGTGTTTGGTCAGATTTTGGTCTGTTCTTGAGTGTTGTACAGTCTTTGATCTCCTGTACCGGATGTGTGCCTTCGATTAATCGCAGTTTGTGTTGTGTTGCTGATATGTTGGTTTGGTAGCAAGAGTACACTGCTTGTGAGTTTGTGAGGTTGGGCCGTGCAGCATGCCCCGTTCCTGCGATCCCTTTCTAGAATCTCATTAGATTTTTAATCTAGATCCTAGCGTCGAGCAAACTTTATTCAGAAACTGCCTTTTTTTTGAAAATTTTAATCACTGGCTTTTCACCTGCCCAAAAATAGCACACAAGAAGACGAGAAAAAGTTTATATATAAATAAAGAAATTAAAAAAGAAGGGGTAGACAATAGTAGAGGCTAGAGAGGGACGGCAACGTGGGCGAGGTCACGGCAGACATGACTATTCATCAGACGTGTCTCGTCCCGTCCCTACAGTGCCCCCCTCCCCTTGAACAACGGCTGCAGCGCCGCGCCGTGCAGGCCGTGCAGTGGGTTGGGAACGTGCGAGTAACGGGGGTCACGGGAAGATCCCGGGGCACCAAAGGAGCAAATGGCCAACAGGCAACAGCCAACGAGCCACACGGCCTTGTGCGACCTGATGCGACCGGCGGCCGGCCCGGGCGCACCATGTTCGCATTCATAGCTGATAGTAGCTTGCTCCTTCCATTGGCATTGCCGTAGCCCGTAGACTCCAACAAATCAATTTTTTGTCAGTCTGACGGGCATTTGTTTGCCTTTGTGCTGGTTCTCCATGGATCTCACAATCGAGTCCGCGTTCCTTTTGCTACTTTTTTTTTATCCGTAGATTAGAATTCGTTAGCACTAAGCAGTAGCAGATCTGTATACTTGTACAGCTCACTAGTGGTCCCCGGCTGTTTTCTGCAATGTCAGGTCCGGCATCAACGCTCTCTCATTGACTTTGTCCACAAAAGACTAGTAGCCGGTACAGTTCCTAGTGGTACACTGCTTTTTAGACACTGCGCGGTGGAAAGGCACACAAAAAAATTGGGCCATGCCCCGTGGTTGGACTTTACCTTGTTGCAAGAATATTGCAACTGAACAATTCTCAGTCGCATTGTTTGTGGGCTAGGCAATTGCAAAATAAAATCCAATGTTACTAGGATCTCACGAGTAGATATATGGTCCCCGGATGGCCGGATGTTGTAGCTCTGCAGTGAAACTTCAGATGAAAAAAATGGCACAAGAACGGAAGAACCTGAACAAGAGTTATTACTATACCTCAACTTACCGTTAGATTTTCCTTGTAATTTCTTAGTTTTTGATTGATGTTTTATTTGCAGTGATTTGCTTTCTTAGCAATTGTGCTTAGTATTTAGTCATTAATTTGCCCCTCTGTTTTGGTGGAAGTTGGATGAATAGGCAGGTTCTGCATTGTACAAGAGTGCAGAAGTACAAGATTCACAACAGCTTCTAGGAAGTTCACACAAGCATGTCCAATGGCCTTCTTAATTCTTATGATAATATTCTAATGACACTATGGATAATTAAAATCGATAACTGGCACTACACAGCAAAACAATTGTGTAGTGCTAGAGTGCTAGACATTGATGAAGACTCTGCTGGTTTATACACTATTGTTTATGGGACCTTGAATTAGCTGCGATCTATAAATAGGTTGTCCTGTAATCTGTTTTCTTCTTTCCTTTTATTTAGCAATATCCTAAGTGGAGGCAAGTTGGCATCTGTTTGAAAGCCCATATTGCCAAATTATTTTCCCGAATTAACATCTTTCTATTTCATTATCACAAAGATAATTCAAAATACATATTGATGTAGGGGTGATGACATATAATGGCCTCGAGACTTGCATTATCAACAGTTCCGCCTATGACGATGATAGTGCCATTAGTGCAACAACAGGCGGAGATGGATGTGTCACCACTGATTCCCTTGATGATGAAGTCTCTAGTTGCTCTAGTAAAGATGCTTCTGGTTCTTCCTTCTCTTCACACTGCCTTAGCAAGCAGGAGGAGCATTCACTAGATGAGTTGGGTACACCCATTGCAATTCATCTACTCCCTTTCAAAGGGAAGAAACCAATCACATATACCTTGAGTGCTTTAGATATTGAAAACATGAAGGAAAAATTTGCAAAGCTATTGCTTGGTGATGATACTTCAGGAGGAGCTAGGGGCGTTTGTGCAGCTCTGGCCTTGTCCAATGGCATAATCAATCTCTCTGGTACACTTCTAGAAGCAATTTATTTTGTGTATATTGTAGTGTCCCTGTGCTCCTTGATCATGACAGAAAAAGGGTGATTTAATGTTACAGCAACTGTTTTTGGAGAACTCTGGAAGCTGGAACCATTGTGCGAAGATAAAAAGATCAGGTGGAGAAAAGAAATGGACTGGTTGCTGTCTCCTACAACTTATATGGTGGAGCTGGTTCCAACGAAGCAAAGCGGGGCAGATGGATGCACATTTGAGGTAATTAGCCTCCAAATAGAATGTTCCTCACTTGCTCTTATATCTTATTATAAAGTAAAATGATTCAGACTCTAACTTAGTTATTTTTCAACTGAACCATGCAGATTATGACTCCAAAGGCCCGCTCAGATGTTCATGTGAACCTTCCTGCCCTTCAGAAGCTTGATACGATGCTTATTGTATGTTGTCATCCTGTAATCTATGCATATGCATGGTTTGGACATTTTTCATCTCCACTCTGGCATACTCTCCAACTCTTTGTGGCATATTTTGTATTAGTAATGTTGTATGTAACGAAAAATATGCAGGAAGTGATGGACTCTATGATAGATACAGAGTTCTGGTATGAGGAGAGTGGTAGCAGAGCTGATGGTCGGGGCAAAATTACAGGTCCAAGGAAGAGTAAAAAGTGGTGGCTCCCATCTCCTCGTGTCCCTGAGGAAGGGCTATCTCAATTTCAGCGAAAAAGGCTTGTTTTTCAGGCTAAGCTTGTTCATCAGATCCTCAAAGCTGCAAAATCCATCAACGAACAAGTCCTATTCCATATGCCTATTCCGGCAGCTGTTATGGATGCCCTTCCGAAGGCAAGTATCCACTTTAATTTACTCATGTGTTAGTACTCTTCAGCCGTAGTCACCAGTTGAATGTGTTTCTGATGCAATGTAAATATTTTTTGTTCCTTGCAGTCTGGGAGGGCTAGCTTGGGTGAAGATTTGTATCAGGCTATAACCACAGTGTATATTCCTATAGAGGAAATATTTGTTTCGCTCAGTTTGAAAACTGAGCATAGTGTGCTCGAGACTATTAACCGGTTGGAGGGTGCAGTGTTTGCATGGAACCAAAGAATTCTAGAGGAAAGAAACAAGAGGTCCCCAGGACGCCATTCCTGGAGCTTCATGAAGGATAGCTCATCAGAACTTGACAAGATGTCTGCATGCATCGAAAGGGTTGACACTCTTGTGCACCTTCTGAAATCCAGATATCCGAACCTGCCTCCAACTTTTATAGATGTTTTAAAGGTCCAATACAATGTGGTAAGTTCGACAGTGCACTGCGACATTTCGATAGGCCTAAATTCTAAAATGCTGTAATTCTGAACATTGGCTGAAGAATGGCTACTGGATGCAGGACGTGGGGCTCGCAATTGTGGAGGCCTACTCTAGGGTTCTTGTTGGGGTAGCATTCAGCATACTGTCGCGTGTGGCAGAGATACTGCTGGAGGATGACCTAATCAAGAAGCCCAACACCCCCATGGCCACACTGAAGTTCGACCTCTCCTCCGACGTGTACTTGGCAGGCATCACAGAGACGCCACCTGGCCACATCCGGCGGTCGCTTATGGACCAGATCAGCATGGTCGACGGGCGCTTCGATGCTGTTGTCAAGAAGAAAGGGGTGAAGCAGCTGCGGTGGTGAGGCCACAGTCAGCTGTTGTGTGAATCTTTTGGCCATGTACAGGGAGATGCAGGGCCCAGTGTCCGCTCCACAAGGTTACCTTAGCAATAGTGCAGTGTAATGTATTTCGCGACGAGTTTATAGCGTACTGTAAGAGCAGCATTAGGTGAATCCTGCCTGTCGAACTCTCCGGATGTTGCTGTTGCGTCTGAACAATCTGATGCTCTTGATCAGCCTCTGCTGCATTTCTTGCTGGCACCTGATGATGGCATGTCGATGGCGAGACCTTGCTTGAGCGCTTGACGGGTTCGTGCCGACGCGTCTTACGTTCTGGAAGCAGTCCGCGTTGTTTGGGGCGTGTGGGCCTGTGGAGACTCTTTTTCTTGTTTATTATGTGATGGAGGGACCGTGTCAATTCTGAAGTCAGATTTGGAGTCAGTCGGGCGCAAAAGGGAGAGGGTTTTCAAATCAAAGGGGGAAAATGCACTCGGCGCAACAAATCTTCCTCGCACGGTCATTCGGCAAAATTCTCCTCGCTTCGTAGTCGAATCACCACGGGCACCAGCCGCACGCAACTCGGCAATCGTCCCGGACTTCCGGTTGCCGGGTGTCTGCCGGCTGCCGTGCGCGTGGTTGCGGTCCTCGCTGGGGTCGCATGAAAATGGCATGGCGTCCCTGATTCCGCGATCAAACACGCGTTGGAGTTCTGCTTGAAGGGACTGAGTTCAGGAATCAAGAGTGGTACTAGTACTAGTACTAGTACCAGTTCTCATAGACCTGCGCGTGCTGTCATGGTCGGAGAAGAGTTGCCCACGAGGCGACGACTCACTTCTCGACAGTGGACACTGGCGTCCCTTCCAAGTCCCAACGACCGAACGACGTGTCCAAGGGCTTTTGCCTTTGTATACCGTCCACACCATGGACAATTGTTCGAGTTTTCCCAAACAATAGCCGTAGAAAACGAGGCAACAGATTTATATCAGGAGCCAGAAATTTAACCTTGGGTATTTCCACTCCCACGTCCTAAAAAAACTAATCTATAGGTTCTAGACTTCTAGTTGCAAATTGCAGTTGCATAAAAGACAAGTAAATTACTCACCTTGTGTCAAAATTGCAGCTTTTTTTCCCTGCTGTGGGCTAGATTGAATGAAAATACTACAAAATATTGCATTATACGTTTATATAAATAAATATACATACATATATACATAAGAGTATGTCAAAATAGTTGGATATTCCTGGAAATGCCAAGGAATACCCTTGGATCCGCACATGATTTCTGTGGTGTCAAGTCTCTAAAACGAAATCGGGTACAGTTTGGACAATGACATACCAGTAGTATCGCGTATACCATTCCATACACACTGTGTTTTGATGGGTAGTACATTCTTTTTCTCGATGAATAGTGCTAGTGAAAGTGTAGAGCCCTCGTCGCACCTATAGTGCGTCTAGATGGCCAAACGGATGACCTGGCCTAGCCCAGCCCTAGCATGACATGGCATAGCACTATCATACATGGCTGCATTGTCGCCCCGTGCTGTCATCGTGCCCAAGTCGCAGCCTTGAACTGTGCCTTGTCATGCTGCGAATCCAATGCCGCTGGGCACAGCGGCCCACAATGCTTGACTTGACATGCGAGCCGTGCCCATCCGTCGCCGGTGCATAGCGCCCGTATTTTCGCTGTTACCGCCTCCGCTCAGAGCGGCACCGTTGTAGCGCATCTCGCCACACGCTGCGCCGCCTCCAAGCCTCGCCATTGCCATCCTGCACCATCTGAGGCTCAGCGTTGCACCGCTGCCGCTATAGATCCTGCCACTACATGCCCTGCCACCGTCACCTTGTCGCTGCGTGCAAGAAAGAGGCTAACCGAGAGGGAGACGGGATCCGGGAGGAAACGAAATAGGAGTGGAGAGAGTTAGGGTTTCAGAGGGAGTCGCATTTATATATATGACGTTCTTTGTTGATCCAACGATTATAGTTTCATCCTAAGAGAACTCAGACGATTGGAAAACCTCGGGCCAGCTAATAAGCTGTGATGTATCGTGTTAGCCCTGCTCGTCAAGTTCGCGGTCTAGGCACGACACTAAGCTCGTGCCCATGCCGGCACTGGCACAATGGCCGTCTATATCTTGTGGCACCATTTTGTTAGTCTCGGCAACTATCCATATCTATAAGCATGTAAAGCCTCGTGTCACGTGTGGCAGACATTGTATATATAAATTGTAAATACGTATTCACAAACCGCGTGACATCTATATTGTAAGCAGTTCATAGAATTATATATACTCATGGTTTCTCGCCAAAATAAAAACTATTGGTAACAAAGGAAACCATTTACGATAAAAGCCTTCGGTGGCCCTGTGTCGGCTGGTTGGAAAAACGGCTGATGCTGATACTGATGTTGATGCTGATTTGTTGTGAGAAAAAAACAATGTTATTTCGTTGAAATGGTATGGCCGACAAGTTCATGCGCATAGGTGATTCTCCATAAACCATAGATCTACCTGATCCGATGGTCACGTTGTGTCCCTGGCATTCCATTTGGCTATGACGCCATGACAGCCGTGTGTTAGCGTGAACGTGGCACGTGAGCCGTTGATATCAAGGGCCGTTGCTACTGGAAGAATATTATTCACCACTAATAGAAGAATTAATTAATATGCTAGTTAATATCTCGATTAATCAAGCCGCGTATATATACTCGCCGGAAGCGAAGCCGCGGAAAAAACACTGACAGAAAGAAATAGAGAGGGGACGCTGACGCAGACGGGGAAGGGGAAGAAGAGGGAGAGGGAACTGGGACTTGCCGCCCCCGCCTCCGCCAAATTCCCCACTCCTCCGCCACCGCCACCACCCACCCCTCGCTCCGCTCCGCCTCCCGAATCCGGCGTCGCCAAGCAACCCCACTCCTCGTGCCGTTCTCAGAACCCTACCCGACCAATCCGCCCGATTCCCAGCTGCCGGCTTCGCGTCGGGCGCGCCGGAGCAGGGGAGGGGCGGAGGATCGGATCGGCAGCCGCAGGAGCATTGAGCGATGGCTGCCGTGTAGGATGCAGCTGGACTCCGCCGGCCGCCCCTTAGCTGCTGCTGCTGCTGTTGCTGAAGTTCCGATGCTTCGGCCACCGCGATCCTAATAGGAGCGGAGGGTGGAGTACCGGTGGAGTGGATCGGGCGGCTGGTTGATCTCCGTGAGCTCCAGCGCCTGCACACTGGGAGGTGGTGAGGTTGTTGCCGGAGGCGTATGGAGGAACCTGGGAGGGAGGGGGACTCCCCCGGGCCGCCGTGGGCGCCGAGCGAGTCCTCAGCTTTCCGGGCGTTCGCTGCGGCGGTGGGGGAGCGGGCGGAGGCGTCGCCTTCAGGCCCGGGCAATGGGGATTCCGCCCGCTCAAGCAACCTCCGCGCCGTCAGGAAGAGGCCTGTACGTTTCCTGCACCTTCCCCTCTCTTGCGGCTACCCAGAGATGCTTGCTTCCTGCTGCCGTTGTACGGCCTCGATTTGCTGAGTTCTCAATTAGATTAAGCAATTCGCAAACGTTGATGCAATTGGGACGTAGTTCCGTGCTGGACTGCTCGTAGTAAATCAAAAGCTTATTAAACTCTTACGACTTCAACTATTCAAATCATCATCGATGCTGCTCCTGCTGCTATTTCTCTTGTTCTTGTTGCTTGCACGCATAGTTCAAACAACTCTGGTTTGACCAGGTGGTCTAGTGTTTTCACTCAAATCGTATTTGGCTCTTAATTCCGTTAAGTGCAAACTTCATGCCTCCTAACCATATATTTTGTATGCATCTTATACAAATTTCGTTTGCACCATTGTATTATAAGTAGTACGGAGTATTTACTAGCATCATTTTTTTTACTCTGTTCTAGTCTTGTTGTCACTACCACTAGCGCAGCAGAACATGTTCGCTTTTAATTTGATCATAAGTGATATGGAGACAACTTACAACTTACATCATGCAAGGATCCTTGTTATTGTTAAGTCAAAAGAATCTTTCTTTAGGTTGTTATGGGTGTTTAAATTATACAGACCTGATTAGAGGACACAATGCTGTAAGGACATCCTTCAAGATGAGTGGGTTTGATGCAGCCCATTTGTCACAGTCGTTCTTGTGTATAATATGCACCTCTTGTGCATATGTCTCCGATGAGTGATGATCTACTCTAAACTACATTTGTTTATTCATGCAGTTTGTTGCAAGATTAACCACAGACATCATCCAAACTTTTGAAAAATGCAACCCTGAGTTTAAGTACTCAGAGTCACTAAACCCCAAGCGCTTTCTCACCAATCCTGCAGTTCCTGTTCACAACGATGGTCTTGACAATGCAAATTCTGATCTCATATTGTATGTCAACCTGGAACTGGTTAATAAAAAGTCAAGCCGGAGGTTAGTTTTCTTGTCTTTATTGTTTATAAAGTACCAAATTCTTCCATTTCACAATATAAAGCCATTTGCTCAGGAGTTTTCATTTCACAATATAACCACTACTACTTTAATGATGTGTAAGAGATTAGGTGGTTGTACTGTACCATATAATGGATGCATGTGTGTTCACTAGCCATCAAGTTTCCCTTAAGCTTAATGCCTCCTTTTGTATTTGTTGGGGTTATGGACTAATGTTTTGAAAGGAGTGTGTCGGGTTCATAAACCCGGGGTCCCCAATAGACCCGCTTCCCTGCAAAACCCGGCCCAGCAGGCGGCGCAGCGACAACGCGTGCTTGGGCCGGCCCAGATACATAATGATAGGCCGAGACAACGATCTGGTCCCCGACCGGAAGGCCTGGCCAAGGTGGGATCGCAATCCGACTCCGACCGAGGATACGCCAGACCTCTGCTCGCTGCTCTTTCTCGATCGACACGGTCGGAACCGACTGGGAACGACTGACCGGGGACGCCCGCTCGGTGAGGGCCCGAGGATCAGGCGAAGCAGATAAGGTAAAGCACTCAAGTCAACCGCAATACCGAGGACCGTACCCTACCATGCCCTGCGCACCTGCAGGACCGTGCCACCAGGTCATGCCAGACGGACACTATACAACCTTCCGGACGTGTCAGAGCACAAACAGTATTGTAGGCGCCGACGTTTGCCGTACCAGGCGAACATGGTAGAGCCTGCCAGATGTGTCTGAATATAAACAGTATTGTGGGCGCCGACGATCGTCTCGTACCCGACAGCGTAGGCAACAAGACTAGGTAGCACACGTATACACTCTCTCTCTCTCTCTGACTTGTAAGGTCATCCCTTTCAACTATAAAAGGAGATGCGCTCTCTCCCAACAGGGGGGCTGGGGGCTAGACGACTCGAGGACTCGACGACCTGAGGACTCGAACAGCTCAATAGCTCTAGAACTCGACGGCTATACATAACATATACTCCAATACTTAGTGCACGTTAGAGAACCCGTCACTCTCTTCCATTCGGTTCAGAGTCCGACCGGGCCTTTAACACCCCCTTCTCATTCATACTCGTTTGTAACCCCACAACAAACTTCGAGCACCTGGGCTCAGGAATAAAGTCACCGACCGACTGAATTGGACGTAGGGCACGTTGCCTAAACCAGTATAAATCTTGTGTCATTGAGTGCTAGGCCACATCCGATCACAACGCACGACAAAACTATAAATATTTACTTGTTGGTCACTTTTCACACCGACAGAGTGTGTAATATTCTGGAATTTTGTGTTCATTTTTTATAAGTAAAATTTGCTTGGGTGAAGTTGATTTTCATATATATATTTGAGATCTGTTTAGACAAGCCTTGATGAACCCATTTGTTTAGTATAGTTGGGCTTTCACAATGTTTAGAATCTTCTTTCTATGCATGTGCTTATATGATGAAGCTTCACTGCTCCACTACTATTTGACATTTTACATTTCAGAAGAGTTCAGGATTTTGAAACTACTCATTGTTGTATTTGTTGGGGTTATGGACTTATGTTTTGAAAGGAGTGTGCATTATCTATTTTTTCTGGTAATTTTGTGTACAATTTTTACAAGATGAAATTTGCTTTGGGTGAAGTTGATTTTCATATAATATTTGATAACAATTAGACAAGCCTTGATGAACCCAGATGTTAGTATAGTTGGACTTTCACAATGTTTGGCTTCTTCTTTCAATGTGTGGGGCTTATACGATGAACCTTCACTGCTCCACTACTATTTGACATTTTACATTTCAGAGTTCAGGATTTTAAAACTACGGACATCATTAAAATAGGCCAAACTTATTTTGATACTTCGTGAATTAGGTATGTTGGAATGTAGGGTCGCTTACCGTGACTAGGAGGCGTGTAAATATATTATGCCTTCAAGAGACTAAATGGAAGGGTCAGAAGGCGAATGAGGTGGATAATACATGTTTCAAGTTTTGGTACACAGGGATAGTCGCGAATAGAAATGGAGTAGGAGTTTTGATTGATAAGAGCCTCAAGAATAGTGTGGTGGGAGTGAGAAGGCAAGGAGATAGGATTATCTTAGTTAAGCTTGTCATTGGTGATATGGTTTTGAACGTAATTAGTGCATATGCCCCCCAAGTAGGCCTCGACGAGAGTGCTAAGAGACAGTTCTGGAAAGACTTATATGGCCTGATTAGAGTTGTACCTAGTAGTGATAAACTTTTTATAGGAGAAGATCTTAATGGGCATGTAGGTACTACAAGCGCAGGTTTCGAGGCAGTTCATGGAGGTTTTGGGTATGGTAGTACGAATCAGGAGGGGGAGGAAGTTCTGGACTTCGCGGTAGCTTTTGACCTAATGATAGCCAATACTTTCTTTAGAAAGAGAGAATCTCATCTAGTGACCTTCAGTAGCGGACAACACTCTAGCTAGATTGACTTTGTCCTTGCAAGAAGAAAGGACAAACGAGCATGCTTGGGTTGCAAGGTGATACCAGGGGAGTGTGTTATTTCTCAACATAAGCTTTTGGTGGCAGACTTTCGTTTTCAGGTGCGTGCCCGTAGTGATAAACAAGCTAAGATTGAAAGATCAAAGTGGTGGAAACTGAAAGGGGAGACGTCAGAGGTATTCAGGGAAAGGGTTATCAAAGAGGGTTCTTAGAAGGAAGAAGAGGACATAAACAATATGTGGGAGAAGATGACAACCAACATTCGGAAGGTGGCCTCAGAGGTGTGTGGAGTAACCAAAGGAAGTGGAGGCGAGGCTAAAGATACTTGGTGTTGGAACGAGGAAGTCCAAAGGGCTATTAAGGAGAAGAAAGAATGCTATAGACGCTTGTACCATGACATGAGTGTGGACAACATAGAGAAGTACAAGGTGGCAAAGGTGGCAAAGAAGACTGCAAAGCAAGCTGTAAGTGTGGCAAAGGGTAAAGCGTACGAGGATCTTTACCAACATTTGAGTACGAAGCTATGGGTGAGAGTTATCGAGCATCGCTTGAGAGCAATAACGCGGGTCTCTATGAACCAATTTGGCTTCATGCCCGGAAGGTCAACCATGGAAGCCATTTTCTTAATAAGACAAGTTATGGAGCGGTATAGGGAAAAGAAGAAGGACCTACACATGGTTTTTATTGACTTGGAGAAGGCTTATGATAAAATACCAAGGAATGTTATGTGGTGGGCTTTGGACAAATATAAAGTCCCAACGAAGTACGTCGGGCTCATTAAGGGCATGTACAACAATGTTGTGACTAGTGTTCGAACAAGTGATGGAGACACGGATGACTTCCCGATTAGGATAGGACTACATCAAGGGTCAGCTTTGAGCCCTTATCTGTTTGCCTTAGTGATGGATGAGGTCACAAGGGACATACAAGAGGACATCCCTTGGTGTATGCTTTTCGCGGACGATATAGTGCTAGTTGATGAAAGCCGGACATGAGTGAATCAGAAACTGAAGTTTTGGCGGGAGACTTTGGAGTCCAAAGGTTTTAGACTCAGTAGAACTAAAACCGAGTATATGAGATGTGACTTCGGCACTACTACTCGGGAGGGGGAAGATATTAGTTTGGAAGGTCAAGTAGTGCCTAGGAAGGATACCTTTCGATATTTAGGATCAATGCTACAGAGAGATGGGGATATTGATGAAGATGTTAGCCATAGAATCCAAGCAGGGTGGATGAAGTGGCGGCAAGCATCTGGTGTCCTATGTGACAAAAGGGTACCATAGAAGCTAAAAGGCAAGTTTTATAGGACAGCGATTAGACCTGCTATGTTGTATGGTGTAGAATGTTGGCCTACGAAAAGACGACATGTTCAACAGATAAGTGTTGCAGAAATGCGTATGTTGTGTTGGATTTGCGATCATACAAGAAGGGATCGAGTTCGGAACGATGATATACGTGATAGATTAGGGGTAGCAACAATTGAAGAAAAGCTTGTCCAACACCGGTTGAGATAGTTTGGACATGTACAACGGATATCTCCAGAGGCACCGGTGCGTAGTGGAATCCTAAGCCATGATAGTAACGTGAAGAGAGGCAGAAGAAGACCGAAGTTGACTTGAGTAGAGGCAATAAAAGGAGACTTGAAAAGATGGAATATACCTAAAGACTTAGCATTAGATAGGAGTTCTTGGAAAACAGCTATTCACATGCCTGAACCTTGATTGCTTCTGCTGGCTTTCAACTCTAGCCTACCCCAACTTGTTTGGGACTTAAAGGCTTTGTTGTTGTTGTTGTTGTTGTTGTGAATTAGGTATGTTGTCCAAGAAATGCTTGGCCAAGGTACCTTTGGACAGGTTGCGAAATGCTGGGATGCAGAAACTAACAATTATGTTGCAGTGAAGGTTATAAAGAACCAGCCTGCCTTTTACCAGCAGGCTATCATGGAGGTCTCTTTATTAAGATTGGTATGGTAGTCTATGTTGCAAATTAGTATTTACTTTTACTGGATGATTGCAAAAATATGAATCACACTGCGACTATAATATCACCTGCAGTTAAATGAGAAATTTGATCCTGATGATCAACACCACATTGTCCGGATGCTGGATTTTTTCCTCTGCCAAAACCATTTGTGTATAGCCTTTGAAATGCTCGGTAACAACCTGTAAGATAACTTTCATTTAACTTATCTTCATCAATCTAACTATCTGCACTAGATTTGATTCATGCGGTGACATAAACCTACATTTTCGTAGGTATGAGCTGTTGAAAAGGAATAGTTTAAGAGGTTTGCAAATGAAATATGTTCGAACTTTCTCAAGACAGGTGTGTTGTCATTTTAATATGTTGACTGGATGTCTAATGTATCTGTTACGATATGTGATGTGTATATTCTTTCAGATATTGGATGCCTTGATTATCATGAAAGATGCTGGCATTATTCATTGTGATCTAAAACCAGAAAACATCCTTATAGCTTCAACGTGAGTTAATTCGTCTCAATGTCAGTGTTGGCGTTCATCAGTCCTGTATCCTGATGACTAAGTGGTGACTTTTGCAGTGTAAAAACAGCAGCTGGAGTGAAAGTAATTGATTTTGGATCAGCGTGCATGGAGGGTAAAACCATTTATTCATATATTCAGGTTTTGTTTGAACCCACTCAGCAGTCTGAATTTTATGCTATAGTAGTATTTTATCGATTTCAAGTCAAGCTTCTACTGTTTCCTTTTTCAGAGCCGTTATTACAGGTCTCCAGAAGTACTTCTTGGTTATCCGTATCCTGTGTGTCATCTCTACAATCACATGCATTATCTATAGACTATAGTTATACAAGCATCTCATAATGCATAAATCGTTTTGCTTTTGTTAGTCTATGTTGAAGCCTCATTATGATTTGTGGCTTTGTGAATTTTAACTTGTCAACTTGTGAACTTGTGCGCTTAACAAATGTCAGATATACTACTGCCATTGATATGTGGTCATTCGGCTGCATCGTTGCTGAGCTGTATATAGGGCTGCCTTTATTTCCTGGTGCATCAGAATATGATGTTCTTTGCCGTATGATTGAGATTATTGGGTTAGTGCTTCCTACTGAAAAATTAACCCCTTGGTTTTAAGTTCCATTTGGTTATTTTTGTGTGTGAATCACCTATACTGGATTAGGTGGTAACTGTTTGGGCTATTTCACTTTAATTAAGAAAACTTGAACTCCATAAAAATCTGCTTTCTCGAAATTCAATTATAAACAGTGGGCAACCACCAGATGATCTCCTACGTGAGGCTAAAAACACTGGGAAATTTTTTAAGCATGTTGGAAGTATCTATCCTAGTAGTGAGGCTCGGAATGGCGCTAGCAGTGCATACAGAATTTTAAGTGAAGACGAGATCAAAGCAGTAAGTTTAATGGTTTTCTTGAAGTTGTCCTTATGGTTTTGTCAATACCATGCCTTATCTATAACCTGGTTGCATCCTTGAACACAGAGGGACTCCAAGAAGCCGAAGGTAGGGAGATGGTATTTCCCTCGTGGAAGGCTTGATAGACTGATATATACATACCCTTGGAAGAATTTGAGTGAGGAAAACTTGCCAGGTTAATACTGGAATCCTTGCTTTAGTGTTGTATATGTTCCCAGAGATTAGTGTTTCTTCGTCACTATTTTTTGGTCCACCCAATGTTTATTTCAATAAGCATCTCTCTTGCACAATAAAGATTCCATATTGAATTAGTCTAATGGCACTTCCATTTTTTCAGTTTGTAACAACTCACAGGGGATGACATGGAGGCCCCTCAACCTTCAAAATTTATATGATACTGTAGCATAACTATTTTCTTCAATCGCAGAGATGGTATTTATATTTATCAGTGGCGTCTGCATTAATGTGGATTAAATGATGAGTCTGCAGCTCAGTGAACTACACACTAGTTAGGACCTAACTCCAGCTGCATGTCTCATCCAGATTGTGTGCTTCATTTGAATATGCTTCATGAACTGGACAAATTACATGGACTTATAATACTTGCATGTACTGGAGTTATGCAGCACATTTGATGCTTTATTAATGGGCCACTTGCATTCATTGCAATGACGAGTGCAAATTTCTTGAATGAAAATTGCCATACCCATGCGTTTTTTTTAAAAAAGCAACAAACAAATCATAGTTTTCGTTACAAAGTTGAAAGGACCACGATATATTCTCACTTCTTGCAATTTCTGTTCAGAGACAGAAAAGGCTGATTGCTTGGCATTGGTTGATTTCTTAAGAGGACTTGTTGAGTTTGATCCTAATAAGAGATGGTCACCGCTGCAGGTATTTGCCGATGACACCAGTACATTTTCGTTTTTGGGTATAATATTGTCTTTGTAAACTGGAATATATTTCAATCCTGATGCCTCTAAACTTTATATTACTTGGTTTCTATGGAACTAATTTGTATCTCGAAGAATCATTGGATGTTCTTCACAAATGCTAAAACCTATTTCAGGCCTCATATCATCCATTCATCACTGGTGAAGCCTTCACTGGTCCTTATGAGCCTGTCCAGGAGACCCCACGAATTGTAAGTACAGTCTTAATCCAGGGTCCAGATTGCTTGCTGCATGAATTTTCTCACATCCTACTCCCTCCGTATCGGTAATTGAGGTCGTTTTAGGGGGTGACATTGTTTGCTCAATTGAAGTCGTTGTAGATCTTTTAACCAGGTTTTGGACGCGACTGCCCCCGGACTCTTCGTTTCCTATTGTGCTCATTCATTCATGGGAGCAATAAAATCGCACCCCTTCGGTTGCTGTCCCCTCCGCTCCCCCTTCCTTCCTTGCTCGCTCCACGCATGGCCCATCATCGACAACGCCGGCGGCATCGCGGAGATGGCCGGCATGCTCCCTCATCAAATATTGGCCGAGCAGTCGCACATAAAAACATTATTTTAGGAATGTTGCTCTCTGAAGAACCTAAGGTCATTATTCTAGTAAGAACATAAGAACACCATCTATTCTGGTGGCAAGTTCAAATGCAAACCAGCAAACACTTCATTGTCATCTAGTAGAGTGGCACAAGAACATGTACACTTAGACTTCAAATAATGGATGCATGCATCAGGAACTCAGTGTTGCTAGTCGGTAGATGCACAGCAATGTTCCAACGCAGGCGTTTAAATAGAACAAGCAAGTAGTAACCCAAACGTCAGATCAAATGAGCGCCAAAAGAAGAAAAATCGAGCGGCAGTGAACAGATCGATCCTAAATTCGCGCCATGCGAGCGCCAAAGGGAAAAAATTCATTTGCGCGCGCCATGCAAGCGCCAAAGGGAAAAAAAAACACAGTGCCATGCAAAAGCTGGGGGGGGTGGAATACGCGCGCCATGCAAAATTCAAGCGTCAAGCAAAAATACCGCGCCAGCGAGGGATCGAACCTTGATCCTCTTGCCTCGGGCCTCGCCGCGCTCTCCAGCTGCAAAAATGTTTGTTGCATGAGAGATACCCGCAACCCGATTTAATAAGGGCAAACAAGGAAAATACATCCTAATTAATCACTCCTTGGTATGCTAAATCCTGTCCAAAACGACCTGAATTACCAGTATGGAGTACTTGTTTTGAGATAAAGTAGATTGCTAGTAGCGGATATGCTCCAAAAAAGCATGGGAGATAAGTTAGTAAATATCTAGTTTGTAAGTCAAGCATCTTATGTCTTTTTTTTTGTGCTGTAGCCTGTTGGTCGTGCTGCAGTAGTTGACCACAATCCAGGAGGAGGTCATTTGCTGGGTGCTGGTCTTTCTCCTCAGGTTGCAAGTGTTTTCTCTCATGCTTTTGTTTTGTTGATAAGTTGTAAGATATTCCTGTAACATCTTATTATGGCATTTTTTTAGGTTGGAAGCATTAACAGATGCTTACGATTTAACAATGCTTTGCAACCAAATATGCCTTTTTCATATGGAAGCAGTTGTGGCAGTTTTTGTAGCCATGGTAGCTTTAATGATAATGCTGGCTTCAGCTATGGAAGTTATGATTTTAACAGTGTCAACATATATAATTCACCGATGGATCCTCCTGGGTTTAATGTACGTTCACAACTTGGAGGATCGTTTCTCGGATCTAGTCCGGATATTCGACGAAGACCTCATCTCTCACATGGTGGTGGCATTCGGTTAAGTCCTGGTGGTCCAGGGCAGATGTCTCTTGGGGCCAGTCCATCACAATTTACACCGCCAAATTCCCAGATGCAAATCCCAACAGGTCCTAATGGAAAGTATGGTGCCTCTCCTTCAAGAGGTGGACATGGCTCTTCGCTGGGAAAGGTTGCTGCTGTAGGCCAATACAATAGGAGGAGGAATCAGGGCTATCCACCTATGCCAGTGCCACTACATGAACATACATCTCAACTGATCCAGGGACACCAAGGAGATGGTGTCAGTACTGCTCGCTTTGATGCATATGGCCGAGGAAATTCTACCTACCATGCACTCCCTAATTCTAGTCATTATAGCTGGAGATCTCAAAGGGGATTTGGCAGTGGTTTACCTTTGGACCCTTCTTCTAGTCATGGTTCTTTTCCACCCACCAATTACAATGGCTTTCCTTTACACTCCGATGCGTCAGCAGATACATTGCCCTCCACCTCATCAGTACCAGATCCAGCCGATTGGGATCCCAACTATAGGTAATGGTGCATTTTAAAGTTATTTATTTGAATGTATCCTACAACTTAAAGGTTCCTTTGCTATTATAATGTGCAGTGATGAGTCACTCCTGCAAGAGGATCGATCATTGTCAGCTGGGTTAAGTGGCCTTCACCTGAGAGATGCAAGTGGCCAAACAAACAGATCTAGCAGATTGGCACCTATCCAAAGTCATGATATTTTAAGTTCAAACCCTTCGCCTTTGAATCAAAGGTATCATAGTAATTTTTTGATGTGATTAGACATGCTCAGGCGTGCGTAACAGAAGTTCCCCCTCGTTTGAAAGTTTCTGATCAACCACCAGCAGGCAAAGGGGCCTGTAGCCTAGTGGTTGCAGTGACCTTAGTAGCACCCTGGTCTTGGGTTCGAATCCCCATGGGAGCGGATTTCAGGCTGGTTAAAAAATGTCACTGGCTGGTTCCCCTGGTCGGCATGGATGAACCGACCTGTGGTGGGCGGGCCCTCGTGTAAGGGGCTGATAGTGGGTTGGGCCTCAAAGCACGGGTTAATGTATGAGGAGGCCCAGCTTTCATGTGAAATACCGCGGGGGTGGTCTTTCCCCCACCGGCCAAGTTTTTTTTTTATCGACAACCAGCAGGGATGCATTAGTGTCATTTTATTTTACATTATGCATTGATCAAGTATGCATTTATATAGTTTGTTCGCATCTTTAGGAAAAAAACACAGCTCAAAGTTACTGCCTATATATCTGTGCTGTTGGTTTCTATTGCATCATACCTTGCACCGTTGCATGCCTTTGAGGAACTACCATCATTGAAAATGATGTTCCACATGAAAGTAGTATTGATTTTCCCACTTCTTCTCATTTAAGTTGCCTGACTCTGTTCAAAGGATCTAGATGCACATACCATTGTCTTGAAAATGGCAGTTCAAGTGGAGTTGCTGCTTTACTAGTATACATGTTTTTGCTGCAGAAGTGGACACCTGTTTCATGCATCATCCCTGGGAGAGAGTACACATACTCCAGGTCATGTCACATTGGATGGTTACAAACATGCAAATTATTCTCAGCAAAGTTTCCCAAGCTATCGTGGACAACCATTTCAGCAGTACAACAACATGACTTCCAGTTACACCCGTCCGACGAGGGCTCATCACAATGGTCAACCTGTCTGTACTAATTATAGCCTGACAGAACCTCCACCCACTACCATGGGTGACGGAATGCCCTGGGGTAATTTTCATGCTTTCATACTTAGGATTATCTTATCTTTTTGGTTGGTATAGCCTGTACTTCGCATAGCTATTATATTTCCTTCTGCTTGCAGTTCTCTTTTTCACCTATGATCTTAGGCAAGGCATACAACAACGACGTAGCCTTTCAGTCCTAAGCAAGTTGGGGTAGGCTAGAGTTAAAACCCACCAAGAGCCTCGAGTCACGGTTCAGGCACTTCAATAGCTGTTTTTCAAGTACTCCTATTCAAACATAGATCTCTAGGTCCCCCATGTCAATTTCGGTCTTTCTCTACCTCTCCTCATATTATTAGCTTGGCTTAGGACTCCATAATGCACTGGTGCCTCTGGAGGTCTCCTTTGGACATGGCCAAACCACCTAAACCAATGTTGGACAAGCTTTTCTTCAATTGGTGCTACCTCTAGGCGATCACATATATCATCGTTCCGAACTCGGTCCATTCTTGTGTGACCGCAAATCCATCGCAACATACGCATTTCTGCAACACTCAGTTGTTGAACATGTCGAATCTTTGTAGGCTAACATTCTACTCCATACAACATAGCCGGTCTAATCGCCGTTCTATAGAACTTGCCTTTTAGCTTTTGTAGTACCCTCTTGTCACAGAGAATGACAGAAGCTTATCGCCACTTGATCCACCCTGCTTTGATTCTATGATTAACGTCCGCATCAATATCTCCATCCCTCTGTAGCATCGATCCCAGATACCGAAATGTATCCTTCTTAGGCACTACTTGACCTTCCAAACTCACATCTCCCTCCTCCTGTACAACTCCGCCAAAGTCGTATCTCATGTATTCGGTTTTAGTTCTGCTCAATCTAAAACATTTAGACTCAAGGGTCTGTCGCCATAACTCTAGTTTCCTATTTACTCCCGCCTGGCTTTCGTCCACTAACACTACATCATCAGCGAACAACATACACCAAGGGATATCCCCTTGTATGTTCCAGGTAACCTCATCCATTACTCAAGGATCTTAGGCAAGGCATGCTTCAGAAATTTAATTGGCACTATCTTGTTGTAGTCACATCTTAACCAGTTTCGCATTATTGCAATACCTTGTAGCTTTTACTTTTAATATTCAGAGAAATGGATGTTGCAGTTTTAGTTGAATCACTACAAAAAAAAAAAAAATCATATTATGTTCGCTCCTACCGTTCTGCCTGCTTTTCTATGCATGTGGGACCGGCTTAAAAGTTGTTACTACCTTTGGACCTCAATATCTGACGTGTGACAACTTTTTGGCAGCCAAATTAGCTCCATCCTCCAGTCGGGAACGTCAAATTTTCCTGACCCGAGGGGGTATTGCTAAATGCCAACTTTGACAAGTGCATGCAATATTAACTTATACTTACTACATTTCAAATGGTAAGTCGTTGTGGCTTTTCTAGATACATAGTTTTTATTGCGTATCTAGACATAATCTATATCTAGATGCATAGTAAAAACTATGTACTAAAAAAGCTAGAACGACTTACAGTTTGGAATAGAGGGAGCAGGGAGTATGTTAATCGTAGTTTGCTATGCAATTACATTTATTTTCAAGAAGTAAGTTATATTGCTATCCTATTCTACACCTAACTTGTCATCCCTATTTTATTCCTATTGCGTATTTATTACTTCTGTATTTCAAATTATAAGTCGGTCAATTTTCTAGATACATAATAAAAGCTACAGTATCTAGACATAGTGTATATCTTGATACGTAGCAAAAACTATATAACTAGAAAAACCAACGACTTGTAATTTGGAATTGAGGGTGTACTATTTATATCTGCGTTCGAGTTGGCTTTTATTTGAAACTTTAGTAAGTCTTCTCTACATGTCATTCAAGCATAATACTGATGCAAATGAGTCCTTGCTGTGTAGGAGGGAGAGCTGGCCATTCGTTTGCAGCGAGCGGACTGCCACCTACCGTTAGGAAGGATTTTGGAAGGATCTTTTAGTCCTGAATCTGGAGGAATGCGGAATGCCACCAAATTGATGGCATCAGTTGTTTGCATTTGCAATTCCGGGTTGAATTATTTGCAGGGGTGGTTACTGGTTTTGCAATTTGTTGTGTTCCTCCGATGTTTCTCCCAGGATGTTTGATTCAAATGATTATATGGTATGGGATATAATTATAGTGTTCGTTCTTTGCTATAGCTGCACAATCCAGTAGAAAGAAGTCAGTTGTGCTCCTTGGTACGAATGGTGCTAGTTCGGACAATTTTTCTGTCTCGGTTATTGTCTTCTTTTCTCTTTTCTATTTTTTTGACAGAGAGGGTTCAGAGCTAAGTTCCTGAACCAAAACATGGCTAAGACTGAAGTGAAAGCCACGTGGTCGTGGTGATATGTTTTCTTTTTCGTGAGACTAGAGGGGGCGACTCTGTTCCTAAGCTTTTTCGTTGTTTTGCTACCGCAGGTTTTCTAAGGGCGTCTGTGTTACATACGGTAGAATCTGATATCTCTAGTTATATGCAACAGTCCTTGAATCTTAAAAAGGATATTGCGAGTTTGCGACTATGAAACAAGTGTGCGCTGTATTAAGAATGTTGCAGAAAACTCTACATGATGTTACACCAACCATGATAAGATATTAGAATCTAACGAAGCTGGCGTTAAATTCTATAAGCAAACTTAAAAGAGTATGTGGTTGTTGCTCTTTCACGATCTTGCTTGACCCTAAAACTCGGTGTCCAGACTTTGGCCTCGCTCAGCCTTGGACCTATTCGCTTGGCCTCATTTGGCCTCGCTCGAACTTCCCTGTGTTGTGGTCAATTTTGATTCGGCTGTGCTAGCACTAGGGATGAAAACGGATCGGATACGAACGGATATCACTCATATTATATTTGTTTTCGTATTTCTGTTCGGATTCGGATTCGGACACGGATAGCGTTCGGATACATATACGAATACGGATTGACTCGGTTACGGATGTGAATAATGAGTATCGAATACGGTATGAATCGGATTCGGAGAAGTTCGGATACAAATATCTATTCGGATATTGAGTAAAAGCAGCATATATATATATATATATATATATCATACGTGCGCAAACCATTACACCACTCTATGAGTCCATAATCCATCTAGATTAAGCCGAAAGACTAAAGAGTAAAGCAATAAATAAGATACAGATACATCATACATCAAACATCATACAAGCACCAATCTTCGCGGCATGAGTAGAAATAGCCAAGCTCATGGCTTCATGGGTCTCATGGAGTCATGGTCATGGATTCAAGATCTACAATCCTTATATAGGCCATTTTTTTATTTGAGAAAGTTTGAACAAAATGTAGTTCAAATTTCACAAGTGTGTGACATAGTTTTAGAAAATTTGTATGAGATTCAAGAATTTGTGACTAGTGTTTGATAAAACTTTCTCAAATGGGAAAATGAGCTATGTAACAATTGTAGATATTGCTGAGATGATCAAACTTGGTATTCAGAGTTTTTTCATCTGAGGTCATTTAGTGTCTCATTTGAGCAAGTTTGACCAAGTCAAATTTGGTCAAATGAAAAAACAACACTTTGACTCTAATATTATGAACTCTAAATGACTTCAAATTGAAAAGTTTTGAATACCAAGTTTGTTCAACTCATCAAGATCTACAATTCTTGTTTTGGTCAACTTTCCATTTGAGATAGTTTGGACAGTTTAAATTTGTGATTTTTAAATTTCGATGCTTACAAACTAGTTTTCGGAACCCTAGATTGTCTCAAATTGAAAAGTTTTGAATACCAAGTTTGTTCAGCTCATCAAGATCTACAATCCTTATATAGGCTATTTTTTCATTTGAGAAAATTTGAACAAAATGTAGTTCAAATTTCACAAGTGTGTGACATAGTTTCAGAAAGTCTATGAGATTCAAGAATTTGTGACTAGTGTTTGATAAAACTTTCTCAAATGGGAAAATGAGATATGTAACAATTGTATATCTTGCTGAGATGATCAAACTTGGTATTCAGAGTTTTTTCATCTGAGGTCATTTAGTGTCTCATTTGAGCAAGTTTGACCAAGTCAAATATGGTCAAATGAAAAAACAACACTTTGACTCTAGTATTATGAACTCTAAATGACTTCAAATTGAAAAGTTTTGAATACCAAGTTTGTTCAACTCATCAAGATCTACAATTGTTGTTTTGGTCAACTTTCCATTTGAGATAGTTTGGACGGTTCAAATTTGTAATTGTTAAATTTCGATGTTTACAAACTAGTTTTCAGAACCCTAAATTGTCTCAAATTGAAAAGTTTTGAATACCAAA